CGAGACCTCGTCTGCTTCTTCGTCGACATCCTCGTCGTCGCCCGTGTCATCCATTCCATCACCAACAGCATCATCCGCGAGGTGGCGTGGGTCGTGTGCTGCGTCAATGAATGCGCCTTCCAGAGCAAAGAAGTCTTCCGGCCTTTCATCTAGATCCTGTTCGCCATCGTTGTTCTGCAGAACAAAGTCCAGAGGATGCTCGTCATACACCGCAGGGTCGTCTTGACCTTCCTCTTCATCATCCTGATCCAGAGTCCGTCCTGACACTGTCAACCAATTGCACCAGCGCGTTGCTCGCCAGATGATCTACTACTCACCGTTACCCATTCATGCCCTTCTTCATCGCTAAGATCCTCCATCTCAGCATCCTCGTCCTCGCCCTCGCTGTCTTCCTCACCAGACTCGCCGTCTTCGTCGCTGTCGTAAGCGTCAATTTCCATCACTTCTTCGATAGTCTCGTCGCCCTCCTCATCAGAGCTTGAAAGAGTCATGAAGGTGGTCAGCAGATGAGGGCACTGCACAGACGGTTGCCAGCCGCTCACCTCGAGTCACTGCGATCGCTGGCGTCAGCATCGCTTTCGTACTCCATTTGCTCCATGTCCTCGTCTTCGGAATCATCATCTTCCTCTGAATCTCCGCGGTGCTCGGTGAAATTTTCGGATTGATGAATGCCAAGGGCGCTGTTGCGGTACAGATCAGGCGTACCTTCGTGTTCGCTTTCACCCTCGGTAAGTTCTTCACCGTCATCATCGCTTTCCGAGTCCACCTCCATCGCGTCGACACCAGCCTCAGAATGGGCATCGTGGCTCGCATCAGCCCCTTGAGCATCAAGCGCTCGAATTTCCCTGCGCGATTCATCGGGCGCCGTTTTACGACTGGACTTGCCCATCTTGATGGCTGCTTTGGTGAGGTGTTCGAGCGGCTTGAGGATGCGATCCAGCAAAGGCTTGACCATGGGCAGATCAAGATCGACTTCGGACAGCGCTGTAGTGAGCACAGAAACGAAATTTTTCTCCAGCATTGTCTTGGCGATGTGCAAAGCGATGTCCTCAGAGGGTCGCACAGATGTAGCGCTGGAAGTAGGATGCGTGTGATTTGGTCTCGCGGTCAGAAGCCGGTAGCAAAGGTCTGCAAGCGCATACAAGCGACCATAGCGGATCTCCACGACTTCATTGAAGCTCGCGACCTCGCGAATAGCTTTGGCTGTGGCATCCAGAACGAATCTCCGCACCTCTACCAGCACGGGCAAGACCTCTGTGATGCCGCTGTGATGCTTGACATCCGCAGTAGCGGCAACGAGCAAAGACATTGCCCAATTTGAGATGCTCATGCTGCGTCGCATCTGTGAATGGTCGCCAGGCTGGACGTAGCCGATGGGAGCTAGTTCAGCAAGAAGGAATTCAACCAGTCCAGGGTGACCCTGCGTTGCAATGTCGGCCGCTTGCGTCTTCGAGCGCTGTGCCGTTTGAATGAGACACCTCTTCGCGGGCACATACGACGACAAGACTTCGGTGAGACACTGCAGCAAGAAGCAGGTGTAGAAGTAGATCTTGTCGGCGCTGTCGTCGGACTTCGAAGGGGCGGGCGAAGATATGTGGACAGTGGAAGGTGGCTTCCCATCTACCTCGGCCTCTTCGATGGGGCCAGCATGAGCAGCAGCCTCGTCCGAGGCGCCGTGTTGCTCAACTGCGCTGTCGCTAGTGTTGGCAAGAGCGTCCTTCACCTTCGGACCCATTGCGAGCGTTTCTGAGACAAGGAGGTCCATCACTGTCTGGAGGCCGTCGGATTTGAGATCTTGCCCGCTTGGCCTCTCGCCACCAGATACCTCTGGGGTGCCTTCCGCACCTGCCTTCTTCGTGGGCCCAGGCTTGGTGTCGTGACGGAGTCGTACAATCCCTTGAGTTTTGGCAGCAACAAAATCGATCATGTCCATGTTTTCGGCGGCTAATTCGACAAACAACTCTGGGTCTCGCAGCATAGCAGAGGAGAGGTGCCGTGCCAACGTGTTCGTGTCCATGGTGCGATTTCGGGCCGCATCAAACGCAACACGAACCTCATGCTCGAGGAGAGCACGGAGTAGATCCCTGCTCTCAATGACTTGACGCAGGATCAAGACGGTGAACACTTGACAGCCGGCAATCGTCCAAGGGCTGACGCAAGCGAAAGGCTTCAGAATATCCCCCAAATGTCCGTCCAAAGCCAAGCGCTGAGACATTTCCGGTCGTCGCGTGAGGACAGTAAGAAGGCGATAAACTGCGAGTAGCTCTTCTCGGGACAGGCTCAAAGGTGCTGCCAAACAGCGGAGGCAGTACTCGTAAAGGTATCCCACTTCTGTATCGGATTGGCGCGTATCCAAGATCTGTGGTTGCGGCACAGCTGCAAGTTTGTCAGGGTCCTGCTCGGTGGTGACCTCAGTCTTCCTTATCTGCGTCTCTCTGCCCAAAGCTGCAGAGGCTGAGAGCAAAAGAGAGGCACGCCAAGGCGGTGTAGCTTCGGTCGTCTTTGCGCGGCCAACAAGTTCGGCGGCTGCTGTAATGACAAAGGCAATTGTTGCAGAGCCGAGCAAAGGGGCAGCGGCAGAGTCCGTAAGCAGGATAGCCGTCAGGCGAAGGCGCACAGCCAGGCGGCGCTCTGTAGCGTCTTCTCCTATGTCGTTTCGGAGAGCGTCTAGTCGATCCTTATGTAGATCCTCAAGAATCGCGTCCAGAGCTGCCTGTTTCTGGCTCTCGTCCTTGGCAAGCAACTTGAACAATGACTT